CTCTTGCTCAGGCTGGTCTCGAACTCCTGAGCTCAAACAATCCGCCCACCTCGGCCTCCCAGAGTGCTAGGATTACAGGCGTGAGCCACTGTGCCCAGCCCCTTAATTGATTTTTAACAGCATCTTAATAAGGACCTGAAGGGCTATCTTGCCATCTGCCACTATTCTAAGGAGCGGACAATTTGAAGGGAAAAGGTGAAAGAGCAGAGTTTAGTAGAAGAAAATCTAAATTCAGTAACCAGCTCTGACCCGGTTGCAGAAAAAGAATGTTTTCCTCCCTAGGTGAGCATATAAGACATGGACCCTACCTGTCCGGGAAGGAAGTGTTCTTACCTGGCAATACCATTCTGGAACTCTTCGGTGGCCTGATAGTAGAGGGTGATGGCTACCCGAGTGTCCGTGTCAAAGGTGAACTCAACATTGTAGTGGACTCTGGCTTTGCCGGCCTCTTCCCCAGGGCTCTTCACTTCCTCGGCGCATCTAGAGAAGCACAAAAGACTCAGCATACCAATATTTGAAAATTTATCTTCTTTTTTTAACTGAACAATATATCCTGGCTTCTCTACATGATCATAAACATAGGTCTACATCTTCATTTCGAATGATCATAGAGTACTTTATTACCAATATATTGGGTATTTAGGTGATTCTGACATTTCACAGCACTACAGTTAACGTCCTTGAGCACTTTCCAGACTGTTTTTAGTTTTTATTTTAATCAAAGTTATTAATCACATAGTTTAAATAGTTTCCACAGGGCTTGTTACAAAAAACAGCAGGCCTTACTTCTTCCCTTTCTTCCTCTCCAGAGGAAACTTCATTTAGCTGATCATTTTGGTGTTTACCCACATTCAGTTTTACTTATTGCCTGTTGATTTCCGACTATGGAAATGAAGATTTCTTTCTCTTCCCTCACTCTGCCCTATATAGGAACTTCTCCATTCCCATGGCGTAGTTATATTACCATTTTATTAGTTCAGGATATTAGTGTCTGTATTACTGTGTTTATATAAACATTATTAACAGTTCAGCCACAGAGTAATCTATGATTATTTTTCTTTTCCTGCATAACTTATTCTTAGAGTTAGTGCTCATCTTGTTTTTTCCAGTTGCTTAGTTTTCTGTGTGCTCATCACACATTCCGACCAAACTCTGCTGGCTGTCTAAATTTCTCAAGATGTTCAGATGTACCGGGTGTTCTGGCTCCTCCTGGAACCCTCTGACCTGCTCCCATCTGGACCCTGGCCCTCTGTACCTGGCACACAGCCGTCATCCTGGAACCTCTTGCCCCATCATCCTGCGGGGTCCCTTTTGCCTCTGTCCTGTGGAGATCAAGTTCCTGCATCTCCTGTCTTGCTCTTTCTTGGGTTACTCTTTCATGTCGGTGGAGCACAACTTCCACTAGCTTCCTGAAAAAAGGTGTGTTGGGGGGATAAGCTTTTTGAGAGCTTTTGTTCTACACTGACATCTCATTGAAAGTTTGACTGAGCAAGGAATTCTAGGTTACAAATACTTTCTTTCTAAAAGACATTAGAACGCCTCCTCATCGCCTCATCTTTGAGCTGCCAGTGTTGCTCCAACTCCTTCTTCCTCTGAAAGCATATAGAAGCTGCTCTTTATCATGTCCTGTGCTAGGCACTTGGTGGTCCTTCCCATTTAGAAACTTGTGCCCTATGGTTCTGAGAATTTTTCTTAAATTATGTATGTCATTGATGATTTCCTTCCTTTTATATTCTGTGTTCTCTCTGGAACCGTTAGTTGGATGTGAGACTGTCTAAACTGGTGCTCTGTTATTTGTATCTTTCTGCTTCTATTTTCCGTCTCTCTGCCTTTTTGCTCCACTTTCTAGAATATGTCAACTTTTCTTCCTACCATCCTATTGAATTTTTCATTTCTGCTACTAGGTTTTTAATTTCTAAGAGCCATTTTTTTTTGTTTCCTGAATGCTTTGTGTCATTGTGTCCCTGAAATAAAAAGATATCTTCTCTAATGTCTGAGGCTATTAATGAAGTTTTCTTCGTCCTGCATAGTTTTTATGTCCAATTAGATTTTTTTCCTGTTGGTTTACTTTGCCACTGTCTTTTATATTATAGGCATTCCTTACACATCTAAGAATCTTTGGTTGTCTGCTCCTATTTAAGAAATTTAAGGCTGCTGATTAGAACTCTGAGTGCGCAGCAGGACTTTGGGACCATGGGCTCCCCTGTGGCCTGATCTGGGTCTGCTGAGCAAGTTCCAATTCCAGTCTCTTAGATTTTCCTATCCAGGTGGGTCCAAGTCCCGGAGAACAGTCTTTCTCTCTCTGGACAAAGGCCTGGCTGCTGGCATTCTGGGGGCAGGGTGGGGAGGCAGGCTGGCGGGCCGAGCATGCAGTATGCCAGAGTTCACTTGCTCCCTGTTTTCAGTACTGAGTCTGGCCCTCAGCTGTGCCCCCAAGTCCAGAGATCCTCTTTTAACCTCTCCAGGGAGTCACAGGCCTGGCTTTGCCAGGGTGTGGGAAGGGCAGTTCTGGTGGTGCTGTGCAAGTGAGAGGATCCAACTGCCTCTTGGGCAGACTTTCCAGCAGTCCTCTTCATGTTGGCCTCCCACCTCGACTTCTAGAGCCAATTCCTGAGCCTTTGGAGGACGTCACAGTGTAAACCGAGTGATTTTCAGCTTTCTGTTCTGTTAGCTCAGGATGCTGAGTTCCCGGGGCTAGCAAGTCATGTAACACTCACCACATGTTTCTAGCTTCTAGAATTTTGTTGCTGTTGCTCCTTTTCCATTCTCCCAATTCTTGTGAATTCATGCCTTTTAAAAATACTTTTATTATTACTTAGTGGGGTTTTGAGAGGAAGAAAAAAGGAGATGTTCAATCCTTCATCTTTACCTGGAAATCTGAGAATCAGAATTTACTCTATTCTCATAATCTCAGAAAAACAAAACAAAGAATACCCTTCACCTAAACATCTATGGAATATCAGGTGTTTTCCCTTCTGTTATCTTGTTTAATTTTGACAACCACCATGAACGGTAACATTGAATATCACCATTTTACACATGAAAAACCTGAAGCTCAGAGACCCCTTTCAGTGAGTATCCACAGACCTGGGAAGCAAATTGGTCTTCTGCTTCCAAGTCTGGTTCTTCTGGTACATCCCAGCCACCTCACTCTACTCTAGAGCTCTGGCCAGGTTGCCAAGGCAGGGCCCAGGACCTCAGAACAGCTTAGGCCCTCAAACTGTCTCCATCAAATGTGTGACCATGCCATATGTGACAAGAGAAACCAAGTGCACAGAGTGGCTGACAGCTGGCAGGCTCCTGAGCCCTCTTGGGCTCGGTCTGCTCTGCTGCTGCAGGAGCTCCCCTGGGGGAGGGGTGACTGTTCTGCAGCAGACAAGTGTCTCCTTGGCTTCCTCCTCCCCAGAGTTGACCACAGGGGTGAAGAGAAGTTTAGCTAGGGAACGAGTAGCAACTTTAGGGACAAATAAAATATTAAGAATTAAGAGAGAGAGAGAGAGAGACAGAAATAGATTAGTGGTTACTTAGGGCTGGGTGGGAAATGAGGAGTGACCACTTAATGGGTATGGGGTTTCTCTTTGGGGTGATGAAAATGTCCTAAAATTAGATAGTGGTAATGACTCACGACTTGTGAATACACTAAAAACCACTGAATTGTGCACCTTAAATGGGTAAGTTGTATGGTACATGAATTACATCTCAATAAAGCTGTTATATTAAAAAATTATCAGAGGCCGGGCGTGGTGGCTCACGCCCGTAATTCTAGCATTCTAGGAGGCCGAGGCGGGAGGATTGCTTGGGCTCAGGAGTTGGAGACCAGCATGAGCAAGAGTGAGACCCCGTCTCTACCAAAAAATATAAAAATTAGCCGGGTGTGGTGGTGCATGCCTGTGGTTCCAGCTACTCAGGAGGTGGAGACAGGAGGATCATTTGAGCCCAGGAGCTTGAGGTTGCTGTGAGTTAGGCTGATGCCACGGCATTCTACCGAAGGGCAACAGAGTGAGACTCTGTCTCAAAAAAAAAAAAAAAAAAATTATCAGAAAGAAACTTCCTAATGCTAATAAGGCTGACCTATACAAGCATGAGATGATCTCTGAGCCATCTTCCTTGCCCATTCAGAAAAATTCAGGACCTCTGATTTACCCTAACCAAGTTTGTCTCCCCAGGGAACCAGAGAGCCTTAGTGGGGGGAATAGCATCAGATTAAAAATTATGCTGGCTAGAGGATGGCACAAAGAAGGCAAAAATGTAGATGGTAATATTGATGCTGAGGATTAAAAACCAACCCAGAGCACATGAGTTCTGTAGAGGAAAGGCATGAGATTAGGAATAAAAAGTAAACATAAGCAATAAACTAAGGATTTCATTATTTCAGGTTCAAATTTCCTATTTTTACTTTGGCTTGCTGGGGTATCTGCAAAATTCCCTTTTCCTCAATAATTCTTATTCCTTTTTTTAAAAAAAAAAATCCATAAAATACGGATGATAATGACTGCTTCCATGCAAGTGAAAGTTCTTCACAAAGAGACTACTGCTTCGAGCTCTGAGCATGGATGTGGAGGACCCGACCTCAGCAGAGGAGCACTTCCCACAGCTCACATTGGAGGCCCGGAGCAGTGGGCTGGGCTCTGAGGCTGGCAGAAGCCTTGTTTGCTGCCACCACGGAGGGCCCTGGAGCCTGGCCCCAGCCTCCTCCGCCTCCAGGGAAACTTACTTGACCAGTCTCAGTGTATCCTTTCGGATGTTGATCAGGCTTCTGAGAGTCTTCACGGGTTCTTGGGGAGGTGGGGCAGCATAAGGAAACTGTCAGAAACAAAGGAAAAGGCAGAGTGTGTATAAAGATCCATAACTGTGGCTTTATGATTGACAAAGAATAGCACTGGGAGGTGAGGTGGGAAGGCACCACTCTCCTAAGTGAGGAAACTGAGATTCCGACATACTCAGTCAACCTGCTCAAGGTCACAGCTAGTGGGAAAACTGGGATTCAATTCAGAGTCAAAAGAGCTCGATTTATCTGCCTTTTCCATTATATGAAGATTATTTGGGTCGGGTGTTCAAACTCGGAGAACTAATCAAAAACACTGAAAAACACCAAGGACACACTGTGGCCCAGTTAATCACAAAAGGCTTTTCCATCTGACCTTAAGACGACAGGGAGCCAGACCTGCAAGCCCTTTCCTTCAGAGAAGCCATATGGTATCCTAGGAATTTAGAGACTGCAAATAAAAGAGAACCCCATCATGTGTACAGAGCTGACGCTTGCAAACAGTGAAGAACAAATTTCCCCTGCAGCTGATCATATAAAGCAGAGTTCTTTAACATGTGAGCCAAGAGTTATTTTGGGGTCATCAGAGGTTTATAGCTTTCATCATTCTGAACCATACATTTTTAATCTCTCTTTCCCCATTTAGACCTTTGGATTTAGAGTTCTGAGCTGATGATAATGAGCACACAAAGAATGGGAAATAGTGGAACATCTCATTGGGAATTGCTTTCAGAAGATCAAGAATGATTTAAAATGTTCCCAGTATCTTATAATGTTATTTGGGCAATAAAATTTTTTTACATATAAGTCCTAGAAAACCTACTGATCTTTGTAGCTCTGCAAAACTGGTTCTCTTAGCTCAAAATGAGTCTACTTCTGTAGTGCTGGTATCAGAAAACGGGACAACCATGTTATAATCTAATTGTGCCTTCACAGATTTTTATTGAGTGTAGTTATTTTACTTGGGAAACAATTTAACTATGGTACATCTGATTTATGTTCAGTATGACTGCTGATAATTCACATGTATGAATGTGACCCTTAGGAAAACACATTCAATCTAAATTATTCTCATTTGGATTACCCACTTTGTGGGCATTAAATAGCAACAGTTTACTTGTTTACTGATACATTAAACATATATTCCTTTAAAAATTACAGTTGCTTTTTCTAATTACAAAGCAATACATGTTTAAGCAGAAAACTTGAAAAACAAAAAAGTATGAAACTAGCCATAATTACAACACTCAGCAACACCAAAGTTAACACAGCAGAATGTGTCTGTCTTTCCAGACAGGAATCTATCTATTTCTCTATCTATATATTAATCATCTCTATATCTATGTACTGTTTCAAACTATACATACTATTTTATAGTCTCTTTTTCACTTAGATGTGGTAAACATTTTTAAAGTCTATAATTTTGACAACATGTAGAGCTAACAGCATACTTTATTTAATCAGTCCTGTATTACTCAATGTTTTAAGTTGGTTTTACTTTTTTTGCTGATATAAATGCTGTGGTGAATATAATTGTCCCTACATTTCTGCATGCTTCTTTGATTATTTCCTCAGGACAAATTCCTAGAAGTGGAATTACTGGATCAAAGAGTAAGCATATTTTTAAGACTTTTAAAAATATTTTGCCAAATTATTCTCCACAAAGCTGACTCCAACTTCGCCCTCCTGCAAACACTGCCTCAGGAGGCCTTGATGTAGGAAAACTGAAGTTCTAGATCCCATCTGGGGCCCATTTCTCCTCCCCCCAACTTTCCAAGGCTGTCCTACTAAAGGAATTTAAAACAATTTTGAAATAAGCTTAAGCAAAATGTAATTAGGCAGGAAAATCCGACACAAATGCAAGTCTATTCTAAAGCCAAAATAAATGACTTTGGGATTAAAATTTTTTTCTGGAGTAGCAAAGTTAATCATTTTCATTTGTACAGGTACTTGGGAGTTACACATAACTCCCACTTGCATGAAAAAAAAAAAAGATGGGTTCTTTTCCTCACTCTTTACCCTTTTCCCCCAAAAGAAAAACAAAAGGAAAGGGAAAACAAAAACAAAAACAAAAAATCTAGCACTCTGCATCCTCCATCTTGAATATCACATTTGATGATATTTACGGCGGTGAGGTACAAGTTACTCAGCTCTCAAGGAAAGGTATCAATGAGATCAATTGTTAATAAATCCCCTCCTACACTTTAGGCTCTCCCTACACACACACACACACACACACACACACCAGAGAGAGAGAGAGAGAGAGAGAAGAAAACAACTGAAAATCTGTTCAGGAGAACCCAATCTTGTTCAGGGGCTCCTACCTACCAAAGCTCTGTCTTGGTAGCCTTTCATTCATGCCATCAGTTCTATATGCAACACTCAGTGCTAGGTATAAGGAGAAATTTAAAATGGAAAAGATAAGGTCCTGCTCTTTCAGGAAACTGCATTATAAGGCAGATGCCATAGTTACACAAATAACTGTAATATTAGAGAGAGAGAAATGCCACAAAAAAGGCAAAAATAGAGGAAGTGATCACTTCTGGCTGAGATAATCTGGAAGGCTTCATGGAGGAGGTGGTATTTGATCTGGGATCTTGAAGGATAAATGTTATTTGTAAATTCAGAGATGACAGAGAAGATAAAGGGAACAGCAGGATCAGAGACAAATTGAAGAAAATATTTTTCTGCTTTTAGAGTTGTCTCCTCTTCCTCTCTAAATCAATTTAGCCTACCATTACCCTCTAAGCTTCTTAGTGATCTTCTTGTCTAAAATTACCATTTATTGAGTGCTTACTATGTGTTAGGCACTATGCTAAGCCCTTTACATATATTATCTCATTTAATCTTTGGAACAATCCTGTGATATAGATATGGTTGATCCCATTTTTGCGGATAAGGAAACGGAGATAGAAAATAGGTTCAATAACTTCCCCAAAGTCCCCCAAGTTTTAAGGAGCATAGTTGAGGTTTGAACACATTCTACATCCAGCTTTCCCTAAGATGCTGCTTCTTAATCTGGAGAAGAGGTTTCCAAGGATTAAAGTGCTGCTTATTAAAAGATATGAAAACACAAATTTATTTATTTGCTCATTCTTTTTTTTATCAAGACACTGATAAACTTTTTTGCTTAGCTATGCAGTCTCCTTAATACATGCACCATTACTGAGTTGCATTTAAGACAAAAGAATTATCTCATTTCAATTTAAAACCAGAGATTTCACTCATATGCTAACAGATAAGTGTGAAATGAAAGCAAACTAATATCTTCTTGGGACTGAGGAAGATGAGCTCAGGACAGATTCAGGTCTAAGCACTTTTCTGCAGTAATTACTGCAAGAGTCCACAGTGCTCAGCATTAGTAATCATTTTCTCAGTTCACATCCAAAGAGTACTTTTTTCCCTACAGTCTTAAAAGTGTATTTTTCTCAGCCCTAGGCCTACTGAGTTAGGGAGTGAATGGTGACGAGGAAGATCAGATAATCTTTTCTCTCTGATGCAAGCACGCTGGCACACCTGGGCCAGTAAATGGGCAGAAGCACCCTCTTCTATCTTGCACAAAAAACACCCCACGTCCACAGGCAGATGGAGACTGAGGAGCCTTCGGACTTCTTGCCTCGAACTCAATATAGACTTATGGGAATGCCTTCCTGTTTCTCAGGAGTCATTCTAGAATCAATAAACTCTGAACAGCCTTAGGATAACTAAATGCAGCTTCTAGAATTTCATTTCACTTTTCATAATGAAAACAAGCTTCAGATCAAGACTAATGAACAAAGAATGAAATTGATCTCCCCAGGGATTTGTGGACCAAACCTTATGGGTGAGCACCTTTACAACAGAGAAGGCTCAGGTCCCCCCAGTCTATTTATCTAACCAGAAAATTCTGCCAAAAGAAAGCCCTTATAATGGGGTAAACTTTAGTGATTTGCAATTACAGCTCGCCATACAATGAGAAAATAGAATGTAGGGAAATATTTACCTGAGTATCTGCCAGGCATCATGGTAGGTTCTTGAGATATTAATATATATATATATATATATTTCCATTTTACTTTATTTTTAAAAATTGTGGTAAAATACACATAACATGAAATTTGCCATCTTAACCACTTTTGAGTGTACAGTAGCATTAAGTAACATTCACATTATTATATAATCATCACCACCATCCAATTCCAGTTTAGATATACTCTTTGTTTTATGTTTTATAGAGACAGGGTCTCACTCTGTGGCCTGGGCTAGAGTGCAGGGGCACGATCATAGCTCACTGTAACCTCCAACTCCTGGGCTCAAGCAATCCTCCTGCCTTACCCTTCCAAGCAGCTAGAACTACAGGCTCATGCCACCACACCCGGCTAATTTTTAATAAATGTTTTGTAGACACAGGGTCTCGCTGTGTTGCCCAGGCGGGTTTCAAACTCCTGGGCTCAAGTGATTCTCCTACCTCGGCCTCCCAAAGTGCTAGGATTACAGGTAAGAGTGACTGTGCCTGGCCTTCGAATATAATCTTATTTCATATTCTCAACACGAGTGTGTCTGCAACTCCCACCAGACTATAAGCTCCTGGAGGAAAGTCTGACACACAAGGGCAACTCAAAAATATGGTGGCTGACTGAAGAAAAGAAGAATGTCAGTTAAAAAGATATTCTGGGCCGGGCGTGGTGGCTCCGCCTGTAATCTTAGCCCTCTGGGAGGCCGAGCGAGTGGATTGTTTGAGCTCAGGAGTTGGAGACCAGCCTGAGCAAGAGTGAGACCCCATCTTTACTAAAAATAGAAAGAAATTAGCTGGACAACTAAAAGCATATAGAAAAAATTAGCTGGGCATGGTGGCACATGCCTATAGTTCCAGCTACTCGGGAGGCTGAGGCAGGAGGATCACTTGAGCCTAGGAGTTTGAGGTTGCTCTGAGCTAGGCTGACGCTACAGCACTCTAGCCTGGGCAACAGACCGAGACTCTGTCTCAAAAAAAAAAAAAAAAAAGATATTCTGCAGATAAAGAAACTAAGACTCAAAGCATTCATACAACTATCCAAGG